GTCGACATAAACAAGTTGAACAATAACAACCCCGATGATGGCGTCTCGTAAAAAGTGGGGTGGATGTTGCATTGTTTAGGCCGTTCCGACAGCTTTCTTAATAGCTCCCTCTCTTCCCTTATTTCTCTCATTCTCTCCAACTGCCTAAACCTTTCTTGAAGTAATGCCATCGATGATTGCGTTGATACGACATGATTGTCGATGCTTTCTCTTCCCATTTGTGGCTTTAAGGAAACATTGAAGGGTCTTTACGTGTGTGTATATATAGGGTGTTGGGATGGTTTAAGGCATGCATTTGTAGTTGTTCGATGAAATTCTAGGGGGGAATTAGAATCGGAAGGTAAGGGGCAAAAGTCCAAGAGGAAAAGGTTGTATGGGGCAACCTATAGGACCAAGTACTTTGGGTTAAGTAAGAGACGAAATCAACGTTTAAAGGAAGAGAAAAAGAGTCGGGAAAGAATGTTGAAAGGGTAAGCACATGGGATTGGAATTTGGAAGGGCAAGTTTGGAGCAACAATAGATTGAGGGGATGCTCTCTTGTCAGACCTATCTTAGCTTGCCCCCCAACCCAATGCTTCTTTTTTAGCTTTGGAGATACCCACAGATGGAGATGGTGTTGCCCTTAAAGAATAATCCACTAAGTGAAATAATTAGAATAATAACGGGGTTTTATTTGTTTAAATAATTACATGATCGTATCTATTTATAATTTTTCTTATCTTATACAATTATATAGATGTTGTTATCTAAATTTATATCCTCTAAAAAAATAACATTCTCCTGTATTACCGAATCATTCAATGAATTTCTCATATCTTTAAATTCTTGTTTTTTAAGTTCAAACAGTTTACTTTTAAAATTCTAACATAAATTCTCTCCCAATGGGTGCACATGTCTTACTATCATATCCAGTATTAATTAGTTTTCTAGCTTTTTAATACTTTGTTTATTCATGGTTAATTATAAAAGTATTGAATAAAATCCGATAATAAAGTTCGAATTGCATTTTGATTTCTGTGATTTTGAAATAGTAAAATGATTGGACCTTAAATAAAGGTTGATTTGCTAGGTAAATATATTTCTGAATTTGTAACAATTTATAAAAAAAAATTAGTTGTACGAGTCATATTTTTCCTATAACTACTAGGTGCACAAATTAATTATTTAAAACAATAATAATAACTTTTATAAAAAAATAATTAAATAATTTAAATAAATAATAGATGCAAACAAACATCATTTTTGACCGTAAAAGATATAAATATCATCAACATTGATATAAAAATACATATAACAATTGACTCTTTATAAATTTACATTTTCATATATCTTCAATGATTACGAATATTATCCACTAAAATTTCAAAATATGACTGAATTCATAGAATAATCAAATAATACGTTATATAAAATTGTAACGTGAATCCAATCTGAAAAAAAAAACACTTTCCTTGATTACGAGGTAAACTTCATAAAAATGAAACATTAATATAAAATATTACATGTCATTTTTCAATGATGTGAGTGTTTATCCAAACCATTGTATTTTCATACTTTTCTTTCATCGGCTAACTGCAAAGATTCACTTAAACTACGATGTGTTTATTCAACATGCCAAATCTCTTAAAATGCCATGACATATTTAGAAACTAATCCTCATTTTAAAAGTAATAGGTTTAAAATTTACTCCACGTCATAATAGAATACCTGTACAGTAATTTTACCCGTTGTTACCTGTACGGGGAAAGGGGAAAGGGGAAAGGGTTAGAAGACAAGGGGTAGAAAAGAAGAGAGGCAGGAATCTTAGGAGGTTCATAATGCTTTGATTGAACAATAATGTATGACAAAGACAGACAGGCAGACATACATCCAAACATTCTCTCTCTCTCATTTTGAGATATGTTTTGTCCTCATGTTTTTGGAAGTGAATGGCGTGCACACATGAAAGCTGCAGATGCTACCAACAGTGTTTGGGGTTTGAATGCTTCCTCTATGCAGTGGAACTGAATAAAGAGAAAAAAAACTCCTATAGATTAGAATCAAATCAAAACTCGAAGGAATCAGATTATTTGATCATCCTTACCTTGTTAATAGAGGTGTAAATGAAGAGAACATTCAATGGACTGTTGGTTTATATTTGTTTATTAAGTTTAAATAATTGGGTATGAATAATATTTTTACGTTCATTTAATAAAGGAACGAATACGAACAAAAGTGTTTGGTTCGTTTATGTTCACGATCAAACTCATTTATAATTTTGTTTATTGACTCGTTTATAAATTCGTTTACCCAGTTTTCTTTTTCTTTTTTTACATTTTAAATATTGACGAATATAATGACTATTAAATATATGGTGAGTTTTGGAGTTCAAATTGTGAAGTCTAAGGATCTAAAAGACTACTGGCATAATTTCACAATTTCTGAACATATAAATGAACATGTCCACAAACACTAAACGTACATATTTATGAATATTAAAACGAACATGTTCATAAATAATAAATAAACGAACATGAGTATGATATTAAAAATTTAAACAACACGAATAAAAACGTCTCAATGGTTAAAGCAATGATTGTTATTCCTAGAGTTCTGGGTTTGACCACCAACGATTGTAATAGGGGTAATAGAGTATTTCTTGTCAAATGATTTTAGGTATTTAGAACATATATTATTTTATAATTACTTTAGCTTAATAAAAAAACTTAAAAAAACACGAATCGAACACAAACATAATTTTATTCATTTAAATTCGATTCATTTACATCCCTACTGGTACTTCTATCTATATTATTATTAATTTCGCATTTGGAACATCGATGTTTGGAGCCGGTGGTGGTGGAGTGAAAAAGGGATTAATGGCCAATGGGTTCATAGACAAGGCGTGCAGTTGTATAACGATTATGTATTTTGCACTAATTAATAAGGGTTTAAATTAATTCAAAGTGGACATATATATTATGAATGTTTTGTAATTGTAGCCTTTGTCCATGTTTGAATACACATTCCTCCACCAACACATATAAAGAGAGAGATAATTATTCAATTACTTTATGTGAAGACTAAGATTTTTATAAAAAAAATCAGTATAACTTTTAGTCCTCTGATAAGTATTCAAAGTTTGAAGCATTCCATTTAACACCTTCTTCAAGAATCAATTCCGTTTTAAAAGTAATGTTAAACTGAACCTTAAACGTGATGAATTACGGTTATTTAAGGGTGGATCGATTCGAATACATACATGTCGACTAAGGGTTTGTACCCTAATTTTGGCTGGATTTCTATGGGGTATTATGTTGTTAGAATATGTGCGTACGGATCACATATATATATATATTATATATATATATATATATATATCATGACTGGTTAGACTTGTATTCAGTTTCACCAGAAATTATTTCTGAATGGCAATGCAAAAGAGACAATGGACTGTGAACTTACTCATTACAACCGTCCATGCTAAATTAATATAATTAGTTTCTTTTGTTGAAAATAAAATAGTATGAACCAAATAGTCTCAATGATTAAAAGATTATTGTTATCTCTTGAGGTATCGAGTTATTGCACCGCATATGCAGATGTATAAACGTTCATTATTGAATAATTGACACCCTTTGAACAAATAGTACATTATATATATTGAAGTATTTCGATAATGTTAGTACTTTTTAAGTGAGAGATGATTTATGTTATACTATTTATATCCTCCTTGGTGGTCCCTCAGGGTAAAAGTGATGTGCTGATGTGAAGCTATTAGTTGAGATTTAAGGGTGATTATTTTATCGAGTCAAGTTGAATGAAAAAAAAATTTTGTTTAAAGAAATTTAAGTTGAGTTTATGAATTCGACTCGAATAAAATATATTTTTTGAAATTTTTATTAAATTTAATTATAATTATTTATAATATGATGATATTGGTTGGTTTAATTTAAACGACTTTCTCAAATCATACTATATACATATAATTTTTATACGTGTAAGTAAATTTTGTAATGTTATTTAATAAATCCGATGTGGATTATATTAAATGTTGATGTACTTTGACCTTTCATATCTCTAGAATCTCGATATTTCACGTCCTGTCTAATAATGTCTTTTTTTCCTTTCCTTTCTCTCTTATTCTTACTATAAAATATATAATTTATATATAACAAATTATCAACAGTCAGCGTTCAATTATTATTAATTTTATTGGTGATTCTTATTGAAGATTTTAATTTAACAGTGGTGACTACATATTCAAAATAACTGGGAAAGTCTAGTACTTTTATATTGGTATTAATATAATGTTTGATGATAAATATTTCTCCCACAATTTAAGGATGCGATTTTTCATGGTGGGGAATGCATATATGTGGTAGTTTGAAGAAGCTGGCTTCATAATTTATTCACAAATAAAAATAATAATATAGAATAAGTAAATTAAACTTGGTATGATGGAAGGAAGTCAAAATGAATAAATATATATAATAAATAGTGCAAAATTGTTATATTCTAACATTTATACATTAAGTCGAAATTTTAGTAATACCTCGATTTTTGAACCGTGATAAGAGCTTTAATCTTTCACCTCCTTCTAACATCTTTTTGACTTTGTAAAGTTCAAAATATACTATTATTTGTCTTTCTTTTGTTCTTGTTGTAAATTTTATAATAATAGTATATTTGTATTTGTTCTTTTAAAGAATGCATTTTAAGGATGAAATAGTGATTAGAATATAAATGAATCAATTAGAAGAAAACAATTGCAAAGAGTTGTAGTTACAACACCAAATTAAACAGAATATAAAGTTTAAGGATTTAATATAAAAATAAAATTAATTTAACACATGCATATATTCTGGTGTTAAAACGAACTTAAGAAAAATGAAAAACTAAAAAATGATTTTTTGAAAGAAAAAGAAAATTATAATATAAACCCAAGTTAATTTCAGCAGCAGAAACAGACCAAATCTGAAACACAGAGCTTCTAAGAGGCCCAAAATCTGAAGGCCCCAAAAAACAGCATAAACAGCTACAAAGTGTTGTGTTTCCTCCTCATCGAAGTGAAGTCGAAATCGAGCAAAATCCATAGCCATCATCCAAAGAATCAAAAGATGAACACAGACATTACGGCGTCGGCTAAACCAGAGTACCCCGTTATAGATCGGAATCCTCCCTTCACCAAAGTCTGCGGCAATTTCAATACCCTCGATTACCTCCGTTTCGTCACCATCACCGGCGTTTCCGTCACCGTAGGCTACCTCTCCGGTAACTTTAACATCACTATCTCATTCCCAACTTTCAAACCCGATTTGGGTCTCTGAATTTGATCCCTTTTTCTGGATTTTTCTAGGGATAAAGCGTGGATTGAAAGGACCGTCAATGGTGACGGGAGGGCTGATAGGACTAATGGGGGGTTTTATGTACGCTTACCAGAACACTGCGGGTCGACTCATGGGATTCTTCCCTAATGATGGTGAGGTCGCTCTGTACCAGAAACGTGGATTCAACAAATAGTTCTTTTTTTTTAATCAAAACGATTTGGGATTATTTGAATGATTGTCAATAACCAGATTGCTTCAGCTGGTTTCATTTTGCTCTCATTTCAAGTCTTGATTGTCAAAAAAAAATTAACTTATGGATCTAAGTTCCAATTTGCCAATGAATTTGAGTAGTATCTTTGCTTCTTTTTTTATTGAAAGAGTCTTTGTTTTGTTGTTTGCCTCAACAATTTAGACCGATGTGAATGTATTTTAGTTGATCTTCATCACCTATGTGATAACTGGAGTCTTTCTCTGGTGCTTTTCTCTAGGTTGGAAATTGGCTTCTGATGAGAACCCGAGTACCATATCGATAGACAAATTTGGATTTCCATATCAGCTGATTTGGGATGAATTTATGTCTTTGGTACTCGGGTTCTCATCAGCTTCTGTACTCTGTAAACAGTTGTTGCGGTACCATAGCTTGTAAGCATACAACTTGTAGTTATGTGAACATTAGTTGCTTTCTCAAGGGGTTGTAAAAGGCAACTTCAACTTCTTAGGCGCCAAAGATTTAGGCTTTTTAGCTTGCGTCTTTGTGCTGATATTACAATATATATTCTAAGGGATGTTCACAATCACAAACTTCCAGAACTGTACTAGCTTCTTGCTTGGGATGATCCGTCTTTATCTTTTGGCCAGCTTATGGCTACAAATATACCAAAGTCAAAAATATATGCATAAGTCAATTGTAGATATGTTCAAAATAGGTTCTTCCAACCTAGATGGATCCTGGTATAGCTCTACTTTGGTGAAACGGGAAGTCCAGCTCTGTTACAATCACTTATATCAGTTTCACTGGCTTTTTGTTATGAATTAAGGGTATTCTGGCCATCTTTCTGGGATTAAAAATTTGCTAAAATTGTTCTTCTGGGTTTGAGAGGGTAGGGTTTCCCTGCTCGTAAAAGCACATAGCTTCAACTTATTGTTGCTTCTATTTTGAGTTGAGAACTCAAGTTAAACCACATATGGGACCGAAATATTTATGCCCTCGAACTTATATTCTCTTTGCAGCCTTTGTTTATCTGCAATTTCATCTTTAGGATAGCCTCTCACTCCATATGTAGGATAGCTAGCTTTACTTAATATCATGATATGAGTTAAATAGCCTCTCTAGAGTGATTTAAGTGAACATTAGGAAATAAATCAGTACTTATACTTTGCTATGGTTCAATATTAAATTGTGCATTTGCAGTGTTGGAAAATGTTTATCTCAAAGTCTTGACGAATGTTGAATTCTCTTTTTAGAGAGAATCATTTCAGTGAAGTATTTGGTGTAGTTGACGTAGGGACTATAGGTTTGTTGTACCTCTTTCGGACCTCTTCCGTGAGCCACACTTATTTTTCCATTCATCTAGAGTTCCTTGAATCCTTTGGAATTGCTTGAAGCCTTTGGAGTTTCATATCCTCCAGGCAGCTACAGCCCCTCGTGATCTACCAGCTAAATCTGTTATCTAACTGCCAAATATATTTACCCTTCTAACCTACGAATAGTCCACACCCTAGGTCTGATACCAGTGCTGAGGGTCTGTTTATAAATTACCATGCAAGGTTGGAAAAGGGGGTCTCTCCCTCTACTGATCATCATTGTCTTCAGCCCGCCTATTCTCTTCTTTCCCCTCTACTTAACAATTGTATGTGATTCTCCGTCCAAATAAGTTAACCATCAAAACCTACCACAACCTCATTTCTCTTATCAACAAGGTTTTATTATTATTTGTTTAAAATTTAAAGTTTTGGCGGACAATGGATGTGCATTTCCATTAGTTTCTAATGTATTGGCATCAATATCATATTTATAGTACCAATTGACAGTTTAAAGTTGTTGGCATTCTGGGAGGTTGATTTTGTTAACTTTACGGTCTTAAAACATGACGAGATGCTTACATTACATTCATCTAGGGGTGTAAATGAATTGGACTTGATCTATTAAGATTATGTTCGTGTCCATTTGTTGATTTTTTAAGATGTTCACGTTTAGTTCATGTTCATTTTAATTTTTAATATCTTATTTGTGTTCGCTTGTTTATTTTTTGAATATTTTCGTGTTCTGTTCATTTAGCGTTTGTTTAATATTTGTGAACATGTTCGTTTATAAGTTTGTCAACATGTTTGTTTAGCGTTTATGAATAATTTAATCCCTATTTTCATCAATATTGAAAATGTAAAGAAATAAAAAGAGAACTACGTAAACGAGTTGATAAACAAAATTTCAAAATGAATGTTTGTGAACATAAACGAATTGAACATACATTTGTTTATTTATTAAATGAATATAAAGATAATTCTCAATTATTTGACATTAAACACTCGCATCTTGAACATTTTTTATGCTCAAATTCAGAACCTTAAGGAATAACAATTTTTTTACAACTGAAGTCATTGAGCTTGTGCTACTAAATCTATGTTCTTTAAATATGCTTAACAGTTGAGATAGTATTTACCGTCAAAGCTCACGTTAGACTACTGGAAGGTTGTGATTGATACGAGATTCTTTACGAATTTAATTAAAACATTCTGGAGTGCAAAAATCAATTTAAAATGCTAATCATCTTTTCTGAACTAATGGTACAATTAACACCAACAACATAGGCAGAATGAAAATAACATTGTAGCTCCAGGGATCGAAACCACGTTAGCCACGGTTTCAAATTCAACCATCATAGATCAAGGACGGTGTCCGAAGCTCCTTACAAGGTCAAGCAGGAATATAAACAAAACAAACGATGATTATGCACACACCCTGAAAACGATAGTACAAGTACCTAGAATATGTTGCCATCACAGTTCTTCCATCACGATAATCAGCTTCACAGCTTAATGTATAAAGGGTCTTGGAAGAAATGAGCTTCATCGATGCCGATGCTGATACCCATAAGACCGAGGACGCTCGAGAGAATACAAGAAAAGCCTGATACATAAACATGCATATGACAGACCTCATCATAAGCATCAGAGGCATTCTTTTTTTTCTGAATGATGACCAATTTTCACAATTTAATCCAACCCACATCTTGCATCCTTGTTTGATTTTGAGCACATATCTGAAAAGCAAATATGAACGCAAGTTGTACTAGTTGACAAGAGAAGAAACAAACAACAAAACGAAGTAGAGATCATGGTATCAATCAGGATATTGGGGTTTGGTATGTTGTGCTATTGATGGTACCACTCCTAATGGCCACCAAATAATGAATCAAATTACAAAGTAGTGCCCATATGAATTTGACATTAATTTTCAAATGTTATACCTTTTCCGGATCTCCAAAGAAATCCTCCTCTGATTGAATCCTCAAGAGGCCTATATCCTCCAGTTAAAAGCATCCTTTAATATAACCTTTGATAGACTCACATGATCTGTCAGAGTCAAATTTACTATTAAACGGTCATATCCATTCAACATGTTAGCCTACAAGTAACCATATGATTCCTCGAGTGAATTTGACATTAGTTTCCAAATGTTATACCTTTTCTGGATCTCCTCCACCAACCAAAGCCTCCGGAAGAAATCCTCCTTAGACGAATCCTCATGAAGCCTAAACCCTCCGGTCAAAAGCATCTTTTGATATGACCTCTAATAGATTCATGTGATCTATCAGACGGTCATATCCATTCGGCCTGCCAGCCTACAATTAATCATCATGACACTAGATCTGACACCAAAACTAAGAGTCGATACAAAAACCCTCATGCAAGACAAAGAAGAGGGATTCCACTTCTTCCTCTCTCCCTCTATGAGGATTGAGGACAATTTATTATCCATATATCGACCTCCCACCGTTAAATCACCGGCTGCGACTCTCCACCCAAATCAAAATGTGTTAACAGCCTATAACCGCCACAATCCAAATGTTACCATCAACACCAAACAATCTAAAAACCTTCCAAATCAGTCTCATTAATAAGTGAACATTAACACGTAGTTGGCAGGTCACTTTCAGCAAATCGAATACAACAGCATTTTAATGAGCTTTACCTACTGACAGGGTAATCAAATTCTGTACATCTCTCCACGCACATCGTGAGTTTAATATCCAAATGTGAACTTTTTGAACCTTCGACCAGCTCGTATTCACAGCACATACCAGAATTAGGAACAGGACATGAGATTTTAGGTGCTACTTATATCAGGAATATAATTTGGATCCTTTAAAATGGAAGGCATTAATTCAATCAACTCGTAAATCTCTGCAGAACATTCATGAGATACATCACCCCTCAAAAAGAAGTGGTCCTTCCCTTGAATCTCAATCCTGCTGTAAGCAGGCTCCTTTATGACCCCAGAACTCCTCATGTTCTTCCTAAGTTCTGCCAAATTTTCCCAAAAACCAAAAGTGGCATAGGCATTAGACAAGACCACATATGTTCCAGCATTTTCAGGGTCCAATTCAAGGAATTTATCTGCCGCAAGCTTTGCCAGATCCATATCCCCATGAATCCGACAGGCCCCGAGCAAAGCACCCCATATGGCTAGGTGCTCTTTAAAGGGAGAGTTAAGAATAAACTCATAAGCTTCACGCAACTTCCCAGAACGACCTAAAAGATCGACCATGGCAGCATAATGCTGCCCTCTTGGTTGGATTCCATAGTCTCTTGTCATTGACAAGAAATAGTGCCAACCTTCACCAACCAAGCCTCCTTGGCTACAAGCAGAAAGACCTGCAAGAAAGGTAACATAATTTGGCCGAAAACCTTCATTTATCATTTTATCAAATGATTCTAGAACCTTTTTAACCCTTCCATGCTGGCCATATCCACATATCAAGCTCGTCCAAGTAACAACATTCCTATTAACGACTTCATTAAACACCCGATGAGCATCCGTAAGACTGCTGCATTTGAAATACATATCCATGAGAGCACTGCTGACAACATTTTCCCTTATATGGCTCTTTATCAACATCCCATGAGCTCGTTTCCCGTGCTCTAACGAAGCTAATGGCGCACACGCTCTAAACACAGATGCAAAGGTGTACTGGTCGGGCGTTAAACCATTCGTTTTCATGTCATAATAGAGATCGAGTCCAGATTCTCCACAACCCTTCTGCACAAATCCAGCAATCATTGCATTCCAAGAAATCAAAGTTCTCTCTAGCAAATTATCAAAAGAAGATAGGCCGTACTTAAATCCCCTAATTTCGCATAAAATATCAACAGCTTAATCTTCAAATATTCGTTGGGTACATATCCAATAACAACCATTTGAGCATGGATTCTTCTCCCAGATCTATACTCTTTCCTGAAAATGCATTCTTGCAAGAGAAGTGCATAAGTAGCATCATCTGCTTTAAATCTCGTACGCCATAAAAGCCCCACGGTTTCCCTCAGTCTTCCCGAAAAGCAAAGATTCATTAAAGCCTTATTCAGGTGCACGTAGCTCTTATGGAGCTTGGCCTGAAAGCTGGGAGTATTTATTATCGCAGTTGGTCATCTAGTAGCAGTGAGCAAAATATAACAATGGAAGCAAGTGTATTTACCAACAAAATACCTTATAAAATTCCATCTAAAGTTCTAAACCATAAAATATGACAAGATAAATAGAAACCCAGAATTGTGAATCACATAAGTTCAGATTTTTAATCCAATTCAATGACATGAAAATAAAAGCGCCACAAAACATTCAAACCTGCCATTGTTGATTTGAGCCTGGATTCGGCGGAGCAGTGTGGCTGTCTTGCCGGAAAACATGGGTCCTACCATCACCGGGACCTCACCGCACGGCTTAGAAGATTGCTAGGTCTGTGTGTGTTTTTTTCGCATTGTAGTTGAGAAAAAAAAAACTGGGGGAGTAGTTTAAGACATTGTTGGTGGGTTTTATGTGGAGAAAATATGAACTTCGAAGAATATTTTTGGTGGCTAAAGGTATAGGAGAAAATGTGGGAAATAGCAAAGCGTAAGTGGTCGGGTTGTATTTAGGTACGTTTCTTAAAATTAAATTTGTCATTATTATGTAACATTTTTAATTCAGTTTATTTTATTTATAAACGTTAAGATTTAAATTTTTAATTTTATTTAAGAGATTTAGTGTTTCCTGTCATGAAATCGATTGATTGTTAGTATTATTTGGATTTAATTTGGATTTGTAATTTGATATAACTTAATTAAGAATCTAAACTTGATTTATTAGTCTGAATTAATACTTGATTTTTTTGTCTAAGTTAATGAATATGTCAAATGACTTGTTTGAATTATGAAATCAACTTTGAACGTTAATTTAAATATAAAAGATAAATATAATGAAAACTATCCCATTTTGAGATGACTTAGCTTCTTCTATTGGGGTTGGGTTTGACTATTTGCTCTTCCCTTGATCAAAAGAAGGACGATTAGCTATAATAAAACTCAATTAACGTGAAATCTATTTTTTTTAACTTCCCTTATTTGGGACATGATTAAGATTTTGGGATAAGAATTTCATTTTATGGTAACTCTAATTTAGTGGAAATATGAAATAATCATCCTTTGGATCCGAGTTTTTGTTTTTATGCTTATCGGTACATAAGTTTTTATTTTTTGTTTGTGGATATATTTTTATATATTTTCTTTACTTTTTTTTTGTTCATTGTTGTTTTTAATTCAATTTTATCGATTAAAAATAAAAGTAAAAATAAATTTTACGACACATTGAGTTGAAAATATATATACATATTTAAATTTAGAACGAATTTGAAACATATGAAATAAATAAATGTTTTGTGACGAGTCAAGATAAAGTTTTTACATACAAACCGTTATTATTATACAATAATATATGCATTTATTTCAATTATCTAAAACCTCATTCCATTGGAATAATATAACAAAAAAATCACTAAAAAGTAAAATCTAAATCAAATTGACTTTAAATTTTATAGAAACCCTTCTAACTATCTGGAATAACATTCATCTTTAGAGATGATGATAGGTGGCAAATTGTAGCTAGTATTGGACTACCTTGATCCAAAAGGCAAAGTCTTATGTGGAAAGTAGAAGGGAGACAAACATCTGAACGCTAAGCTTATAAAGCTCGACAGTATAATTGTTAATCTAGAGCAACATTATGAGTCTCATAAACATATGAATGTTAAACATATGAATGCTAAAGACATGGTAATAAGAAATAGGTACATGCATGATCTAAATCAAGTGCTACTTAATTAGGGTGTAATTGTTCTATCGCTGAAGTAGGAGTTTTGTGCTTCCCTTAATCCTCTGCTAAGAGCCTTACCATGAATACATCTCTAAAGGGTCTTTAACCCTAATGATTGTAACTAATACGCATTATTTGAATATGACACCGACTCTACTGAGCATTATCTAAATACAACAATGTTAGTATTTGGTCTCACATAACCACTAGACACTAGTTAACATAGGGGACCCGATGTCACATAGCATCGACAAAATTCCCACTAAGCTACTGAATAATCTCATGGTCTCACATATCCATCATGAAGATCATGGGGGGAACCCAATGTCACATAGCATCGGTACAATTCCCGCTCAACTAAAGCATTGGCTCGATCTCACACAACCGTCAAGCCAAGCTCTAAGGATATCTGATGTGTAACATCCTCAATACCGGGTTAGTGACTAAATTGTAAAGTCTCATAATTTGGTGATTTAAAATATAATGATTGAATACTATAAAGATTTATTGGTAAATTATTGTATGGATTTGAATTGAAAAGAAGAAGGAATAGAAGGGCAAAGAGGTCATTTCTAAGGGAATAAGAAAAGAAGGGTTATATATGTATCCACGTGGGTTGAAGAGGGGAGAACATAAAGTCTTCCAGAGTTCTTTTCTTCTTCTTTATTCCTTATACATGTAAAGCAAAACAAATGTGAGTTTTCTTATTATTGAGTTTCTTGTTAAATTTAAGATTGGGTTTTGATTATTAGATGATAACTAAGCTTAAGGAAAGCTTAGGTTATCTTAAAATCTAAGGATGATGGAGTTAGAAGAGATTAAAGATTAGAGGTTCTTGAATGAAATCTTGGAATAGAGTTCATATCTAGAATTGGAAGTTAAATTTGACTTGTCACCAATCAAGTTAAGACATATTAATGGTTAAAAGTGGAATTAAATCATGTTGCAAAGTTGGTATAATTCTTGGATTTCACAAGGAGGATAGGATTATGAGGTTTAAGATGAAATAAATGAGTATAGATTGGTTTAAGTATGTATACTGGAGTTAAGAATAAAAAAGGAGATGAAACATGAAAGATTTAAGCTGAAATGGATAAGTTTCCGGGTTCAAGAAATGAATTCTGGGCAGAGTGCATCGGTGCACATTTAACGTGTACCGATGCATCAAGAGAAAATCTCAGAAATTGTTGAAGGTGCATCCATGCACATGGAGTGTATCGATGCACTTATTTAAAATAAATTAATATTGAATGCCATTAGCGCATCGATGCATAAGGAGTGCATCGATGCACATGCTTAAAATACAAACATCGAATAGGATTTATGCACTGATGCATGGGTAGTGCATCGATGCACCCGCCAAGGGATGCATCGATACATGGTGTAGTGCATCGATGCATACCTTCAGTAAGAGATGGAAATAGCTTTCTTTTAGCCTAAGGATTAATAGTTTGGAATATATCAATTCGTATATTGATAAGTATCAATGTATTACTATGTAGATTTAGAGCTTAATCTTATTCCAGAATAATCGAAGGATTAGAATCGAATCAAAGCAAGGCTAAGGTGAATGTATTTTATAGTTAAAGTGTATGGAGACAAGACTTGTGATAAGTTTATCTCTGATAGTTGAATTAATGATTCCATACCCATGTATATGCATACATATACTATTGTAATAATGATTACATGCATAATTCATTATATGTTCATATGACATTGAATGAACGAATATCATTGCTAGAGAATATAATCCAGGTATGTGAAATAATGGAAAAGATTATGGGTTTATATGAAAAGTGATGAAAGAGATATGAAATGAGAAATGTATCTGTATTAAAGCATGTTATATGATACGAGAGCTATAGGTATAGTTGGCATGCCAAGAGTCGAGGGTATATTAGTCTTTCAGGATGTATCCAGTGGTCCTTCGGGACGTATTCAGTGGTCATTCGGGACGTATCCAGTGGTCCTTCGGGACAAATACTGAACAAATGTTCAGTTCCCCATGAGGGAATTTATTGAGCTGTGGTGACAGCATTAGTGCACAACCTCAATGTACTCAAATACCTCTATTCTCAATAATGTACATGGGCAATTAAAAGATAAATTAAGGTGAAAATGATACAAGAAGATAAGTTTCATATGTACATGACATGATTATATCGGTTATAGTGAAATGTATACATGCATATTGAAATGTCATGATCAAATGGTAAGAACGCATATTCATGAATCTATAGCTACATGTTTATTTATTGCCTCACTAAGTCTATAACTTAGCGTGTAAGTGATTTACACGTAGGTATCAGGAAACAAGAAGAGCAGTACTAGAAGTGGCAAGAATAGCATCACTACTAAAAGATCATATCAGAAGTAATTGGCAAAGTAGGTATTTTGGGTTGTGTATAGAGTGTTGGCATGTAATAAGTTGTTAATTACGAATGCTCTGATCGATTTTGTATTTCGTGATCTCTTTTATGTAAATTAACGTATTTTGTTTTAATGAAAGTTTAAAATTTCTCTGGTTTTCTTTAAGTGACAAAGTTTGAAAAGTCAATGTGATACTTCGGACTCATATTCGAGTCGGATACAGGTTAGGGGTGTTACATTTAATGGTATCACAACCAGTTTTAGTCGATTCTCGGCATAAACCGAAGTCTAGAGGGTCTTATAATGTATACATGCCACCAAATTAGTGAAAACTTCTGATCTGATAGAATAGTAAGTATGTTGTTTTACTAATAGAATGATAGTATTTTATCTTAATAGATGTCCAGACATGGTAGTTCTAGAAATGAAGCGGGAGATGATAGACCTGCTGAAAGTAGCAATTCACCTGCTCTGGCCAGGCAGAGTGAAGAACATACACCCTCTGGAGTGCCTGTGAATGAACAAGATGTATTCTTTAGAACGTTAGACGCGGTATTGACGCGTTTCCAACGTCCTACTATTTCAACTCCGAAAATGAATGTTGCAAAAGAGTTGAAGGGTTTAGGAGCTCCAGAGTATAGAGAGGAAGCTGAGGAAGGTCCTGTTACTGCGGACCTTTGGCTTAATGACGTGAAAGTCATGCTTGAGGGACTTCATTGTTCCGATGCTGAGAAGCTAGATGGAGTAATTTTCTTGTTAAGAGGGCAATCAATGATCTGATGGACCAATGTTACATTGAGAGTGTCTAGTAATCAAGTAACTTGGTCATTGTTTTTAGAAGAATTCAAGCATAAGTACATCGGAGATCAATTTGTTCGACAGATGAAACAAGAGTTCATAAATTTGAAGCAATAGAATCACACTGTATATGAGTATGAGTGTGAATTCAATAAGTTGAGCCGCTTTGCTACCGAGCTTGTTCCTACAGAGAATGGTGCTTGTGAATGGTTTGTAGATGGGTTAAGTCCTCGGTTGAAGGAAATGTTGATTGTATTGAATCTATCATTGTTTCAAGAGGTAGTCAATCGTACCAAAGCTTTGGAAAGAGCTCAGAATGAGAGATTTGAAAATCAAAGAGCTCAGACAGTCAAAAGAACGAGTGTTTCTTCAAGTTCTGCACCATCAAAAATGGGTAAAGATGCTGGTTCTCGACCCCAAGGGAGATCAGAGTTAGTGGCATCCTCCGCTAGAGGATCGAATCCGATGAGGGGTAGAAAAACTCAGTCAGTGGGATTTGGAGCTGGGAGAGCTAATCAGAGTC